TGTGATATTTATTTAGGGTAGTTCTTCGTATCGGAAACACCATTAACCAAAAAAAAAACAAAGCAACTTAACAGTACACTAACCTTTAATTCGGGCACCAGCACAGCATCACCATATTGATCGCGTATAGTCACAGTAATCTGAGTGGGCCAGCCGTAACGCAAAGGCTCGGTTATTGTGTTCAATTCGCATCTGATTGGAAACGTGACGGGGAAATTATTAAAAGAAAGGACTAGTTAAAATAAAGCAAAGAAAAAAGTAAATGACTTACTTATTAGGATCGAGGCGTGATTCCGGTTGCAGCCAAGCAGCCAAACGAGCGCCAGATGAACCCGGTGCGCCACTAATGAAATCTTTAAGAAATTGACGTTCATTTGATTGAGAGCTGAAAGAAAGAAAAGAAATAAATTAATTGCTTCACACAATTACGCAAACGTATAGCATAAGATTTATTTATTAAGCAAATAAAGTAGTCGATTCACTTTACATTTAACAGGTGTAGTGGCTGTAAAAATTTAACGAATTAAAACCACAACGAGCGCACATCACAGCCAACGGCCAAGTAGACAAAAATGAAAAACGCAGCCATTAAAAGAAAATCTTCAAATCAGAATTTCATGTCTACAAATGGGAATTCTAATTGTAATTCCGAGCGCGACTGAGGCAATCATTATGAACAACAATTTGAAAACCATTTCTCTAACTGGCTCAGCGGCGGCATTCACCTTTGTTCTTTATGGTTTCTTTTTAAGATTTCATTTTAATTTTTTTTTTTTCAGAGCATTAACTACTTTACACGTGGATTGTTGTGGGAATAATAAAGCCTACCCTTTTAGCCCTTTTTGTGATAACAATAAATGAACTGCCTTTAGCTCACCGTCAAACTGTCTGTTCGCTGCTTTGGAGTTTCCAAGCCAACAGAAACGGCAATTAATAAAAGTTCGGCAGAGCCAAAAGCGTTAATACTACTTTTGTAGACACATACTTTCAACATACATTTCTACAAACATGTGTATATAGTTTTTATATTCCTATGCATTTGTGCAAATGTGTATATGCGTCCAGCTATAAATTGGTAGTTATTTTTTTTCGGTTAATTTTATGGCTGCTCCCTCGTACGTCACAAAGTCAGTGCAGTTAAAACGCACAACACCGCATATCCCGGCGTGCGCAGGCGCTCTTTTCTTTTCAGTACATTTATTCCCTTCAGCCATCATATTTTTAGGCTTTGGCTCATAATCGCCGTACAATCACTGAGTTATTCCACAAATGATCAGTTCACAAAGTGATGGGAACGTGTCGTACGTGCGCAGACAAAGCAAATGGCCAGAGGAGAAAAAAGGCAGTATGACGTGCTAGGCACAATAGCAGGAGTAGTGATATTCCGTGCTACACACACACACACACATCATACATACATATGTACATACCCTGTAGTCAATATACCTTCTAGTAGATTAGCTTTTATACCTTGATGCAAAGTCTGACTAGTTCTTTAACAGGTGCATAAATATAAACTAATGCAGAAAATCTTAAATTTCGAGGTATCAATGCCACAAAGAAAAATTGAAATGGTTATGCCCCCTCAACTGGTTTAAGCTGATGCAGAGTCTGACTAGTTTGTCATTTCATAGATGCCACTGCATGGCCTAACAATTGTCACTTTGTAGCATATCTTTGTGTTAAAGATACCGGCTGTTAAATGAAAAAATAAAAATACAAACTTTGTAGATGAGCTACAAACAAAACTGATAGTATGATTGTTTAGATCTAGTATTTTTCTCTGCAGGGTAGTTACTTCAGCCCACAATTTATGTGTGTATGTATGTGCATACATATGTACCTTGAAAAGTAGTAAATCGAACACGGAGTGCATGAATGAAGACTATAACCCGCGTCTGCGTTGCTGAAGCTGATCTCAGCTGGATATGTGTAGAACAAATTTGTGTTTTTATTTACCAGATTCAACTAAAAGGGCAAATCTATACTTTTAGATTGATAGTGTACAAATGTAGATATGTATATGTAAAGTGCCAAAATCCGTCTAAAGATTCAAATTAACAAGTAAAAAAAGTATAAGTTCGGGCGAAACCGAATTTTATATACCCGGCGCAGGTATCAAATATTGTCGTTCCAACCTTCTCTGATCATATAAGAGTCTTATTTAGTTTATGAGTTTTAGTCCGATTTGAATAATTGCCTTTCCGTACCAAGGTTATTAAATGCACCTATTGTGGTAAAAATTGATAAATCGGTTACCAAGATACACATTTGTGGTCAAAAGTGGGCGGCGCCACGCCCTTTTCCCAAAAATTTATAATAATCTAATTTTTTGCTCAGTGTTTATTGCAATAATAGATGTTGAGTCAATTGGCTTCAGTAGTTACTGATTTAACGCAGTTTATCGCATTCGCATCTGCGGATGTCTAAAATTCCACATTCGCAACATCCCTAGTATGTATGTATGTATACAAAGAAATAGCTCTACACTTAACGGCTTATCGAGTCTGTTTTTCCCTTGACACGTATGCACCTATGTAAATGCAAAAAAAAGCAAATTAGTACTCATAATGAATGAAATTGAAGATTTCATATCTTTAAGATAAATAATCAATTTGGAGATATCGTTCAGATTTAATGGATGTGCAGCTCAAAAACCGTAAAAATTTAAAAACCATTGCAGGTCTCAGAAACGCAACCGATTTTGGATTAGGTGCTGGTTTTGGAAACATATTAAGACTAGGTTTTAAAAGCCGCATTGTCTAAGAAACGATAACAGACACTGTGAGCGACGTGGAGCGCAGTAAAAAATTTCCATACAAAAAAAAAAGGGTTGTCGGAACACGTTGCCGACTCCTAAAAATGCTTTTATTTTAAAAATATTTGTAGATAAAATTACTTTAACTGGCATCGCAACCCAATAACCAAAACAATTGTTTAAATACGCATTTGCTATAACTTCAAAATGAGACTTTCTTCTCTTACAAAACAAAAAGTTGCGGATCAAACGTTGTTAGTGAAAAGATATTCTGCCGGAATCCACAGTAAAATCATTTATTTTTTAGTTTAACTTCTGTCCTACAATTGCCACGTCCTTTTCTAGGTGTTTGTCGCCTAGAACAAAAATATTCCTGAAGATATGTTTTTACTGGATGGGTATTCATTTTAAAATAATCATCAACAAAATTTACATTTCTGCAAATACACGTTTTTTGGCACCTTACTAATTGATTTACACTGAGAACTTATTATTTATGATAAGCAAATATTGGAAAAAATTTTTTGATCTTAACTATGTGGATGGATATTAATTAGTTGTATAGTAGAGCACCGATGTTGACGATTTTCTAGGTAGACATTGTATGATTAATCAAGAAATTTCTCATTTTTTCTGTTGCCGGTTAAAATTTAACTTCTCGTTAAACAAATCGAAATCGAAGTCAAAGCACCCGTTACCCGTTAACTTTACGAGGCAGTCTAGAAAACGACCTTCAATGACGGAGTTTTAAAGTAAAACTTCATATCTGAACAATCAGTTGTATGGGAGCTGTCATATAAACTCTCTAATGATAATAAGTGAAAATAGTGCGAAATTCCATGTTCCGAGCTGCATAAATGAGGGGGTTATAACGCAAATTCTCATAACTGAACAATATGATATATGGGAGCTATATGTTGTAGTGGTCCGATTTTGTCGGTTGCAACAAATGATTAATACATTTTGAAATTTGCGTTCACACAGACAGACAAACGGAGATGACTAAATCGACTCAGCTCGACGCTCTGATCATTTTGGAATACTTTTTTATGGGTCTATCCCTTCTTCTTCTGGCACTAACAAACATTAAGGGCCGGTTACTCAATGTCTGGTTAACACTTATCTCCGGTTAAACATAGTTATCGACGTTACCGACTCCCTGTTGTATGCATGGAGTCGAAGACGTCGATAACGATGTTTAACCGCAGATTAGTGTTAACCAGACATTGAGTAACCGGCCCTAAAGTTATAATACCACTTCATCTTCATGAGAGGTATACAAAAATGGGAGCGCAAAGAAGCACAATTCATATTTTATATAAGGTTCTAAAACAGGACTTTCTTCTAGTAACTTATAAATAAATCAGAAAACCCTACTTACGGGTATACTTGCATATAGACAATAAGAAGTTATATGCAGAAATGAAATGCCTCTCTAGAAGCAAACTGACTACATATTTTTGTAAATATTCAACAGGTCTCCTCGGCCAAATGGTTGACTAGCACTAAAAAATCGCTTAAGAATAACTTCTTTATTACAAGATGAACATCTATGGTAAGAAATTGTGATCAAAACTGATTTAATATTAAACATACTATTTGTGGTTACATATGTTCCGTATGTGTGTCTGCAATCAAGATCCGAGCTGAAGTCATACAAAAATTCCTGCATAAGTAGTAGGTAATGCAAAAGAAAGTCATTCATTAAATGGTTTCCGTATTTAACATAAAATCTCATTAGATTTTATTGTACGAGGCACCTGTTATCAGGACAACTCGACGCATAGTACGCGAATTGAATTTTAATGAACTACAAAAACATGACGCTAGCAACATACATATGCACACATGTATGTATAAATGTATTATCTATTGGGGTGTTCACAGTACGTTCCAAATTGTGACATTTCCTAACTAACGACACCGTCTGCATTTTGTCACACTCAAAGGTATATTTTTTAAGCGTCTACATTTTTCAATTTCGTAGCAAGGTTCCACTATTACAACACCATTCAGATTTTTTAAATTTATTGGGGATGTTTTTCGTTCTTGCTTTTGATTTAAGCGCATTGGCTGATGAAAACAAACAAGTCATGGTAAAGATATATAGAACAAATATTAGCAATGGGTAGTTAACTTAAACAATTAAAATTTTTCAGAACCAAAATCGAAAGGTAACACATAAAAAACGGAAGTAAAGAAGAAATGTCTAGCAAAACCAGCAAAGTTTTTCGACGACTCCTAGAAAGGGGTGGCCCCATTCTGATTCTAAAAAGGTCTCAAAATGTTGACGTCGGCATTTAAGACACAATTTGGAACGAACTATGAACACCCCATATGTTTTTATGTACATACAAACGCTTTGCGATAAAAATCCTGAGTGCAGAAAATAACCAGATACAGATTAGGAGAGCGATATCAAATAAATCAGTTAGCAAAAGAAAGAAAGAGAAGCGGTTTAATGCAAAGAGAATTAAATAATTGAGTAAATGATTTTTTATGACATGCTCTTCACAATTGAAGTAGTCAGCTTCTCTTTCACTCAATCCGCAGCCAACTCTCTCTTTTGACGATCAAAGCAGAGATCTGATCTGATCAAAGTACCTCTTTTTTAGTGTTGTTTGGCT